ACCCCGGGGGACAGCGGGGGACACAGCGAGTGACAGCGGTGCGACGGCACGGGGGCTGCTCCGGCTGAAAAGGGCTTTTGTTGGGGCTTTGCCCGGCAGCAGGAACCACAGCCCAACAGGTTCCCGGGCACGGGGCCCCGCCGGCACCGGCGGAGCTCGGGGGGAGCTCGGGGGGCTCCGCCACCGCCCCGCTGAGGGTCGGCGCCGGCCGGGACCGCTCGGCTGGGAAGGGATCCCCCCACCCCCAGGGGCTCCGAGCGCACCTGGGGGGACACGGGGTGACCCCACGCTGCTGCCAGACCCCCCCCCCGTGTCACCGGGACCCCGCGGTGGGCGCGCAGCACGCGGGGGATGAGGAGGGGGCTCGGGGTGGGACCCCCAGCACCCCCGGGGGACCCTCCGTGCCACAGGGACCCCGCCCCACGTGGGACCCCCATCCCAACGGGGGGACCCTCCCCGCTCTGCCCCACCCCACGGGGGATCCGCACCCCACGGGGACCCCAACCCTAACGGGGACCACTCTGAGCGCCTCCGCCCCGCACGGGGAACCCCGCATTTCACGGGGACGCCCCCGCTGACAGGTAAAGCGCTGCCTCACTCTCCTCCGCCTCACGGGGGTCCCAACCACCGGAGACGCCCCGGATCCTCCCGGGGACCCCCCGCACCCCCACGGGGGACCCCTCTCGGTTCTTCCCCGTCCCAACCCTCCCCCCCCACTCAGGTGAACCTCGCCTCGCTCTCCCGCTCCGCACGGGGAGCGCAGCCGGGCCCCCCTCACTGCACGGGGCTCGCCCCCCGCCCCCCGGCCGCGCTCACAGGCTCCGCTCCCGCCGCTCCGTCTCCCGGTGCAGCGCTACCGAGAAGCCGAACAAGGCTCCGGCGGGGCCCTCCTTGAGCACGGGGAAGGTGCGGTCCAGGTTGAAGGCGGCGGCGGCGCCGAGCAGCACCGGGCCGAGCCCCAGCAGCAGCCCCGGCAGGGGCGGCGGCAGCAGCCGGCGGCGCCGCGCCATGTCCCGCACCGGCCGCCGTACCCGCCCTGCCGCCCCACCGGGACCGGTGCGCGGGGGGCGGGGCCGGGCGGGGCCGGGGCGGGGCCGCGGCGCTTCCGGACACGCCCCTTAAAGGGGCCGCGCACCCCGCGGGCACCTGCGCGCTCAGGTGCGCGGGGCAGGGGGGGGCGGGCGCACCTGGGCAGCCGCAGCTGCGTCACCCCCGCCGGGGGTCGCGGGGCTCGGACCCCGCCCCCTGCCAGACCCCCCGAGTGCCCCCCTCCCCAGTGCCCCCTCCCCAGTGCCCCCTCCCCACGCCCCCGCGGGACAATTCCCCCCATTCCTCCCGCCCTAATCCCCCCGGGGTAGGACCCCCCTACCTGGCACCTCTTTGGGATGGGACCCCCCGGCATGGGACCCCCCCAGGAGAGAGGGGACCCCCGGGACGAGACCCCCCCCATGTCAGGAGGTCATACCGGGACCCCGGGAGCGGCACCGGGGCGGGGCCGGGCCGTGGGACAGCCCCGCCCCCGCGGGGACAGGGAGGGGACCCGGCGGGGACATGGCAGCATCGCCGCTTCCCTGCCGGGGGCGGCGGCCGCGGCTGTCACCGTCCCGACCCCGGCAAAGGTCACCGGGAGCCGCCGCGCCGCTCCCACCGGGCCGGGAAATCCGGGCCGGGCTGGCCTGGGGGGGCTGCAGGATGTCCGGTGTCCCCCGCCCGATGTCCCCGTGCCCCTGTGCCGTGTCACCGGCACTGGAAAGAGTGACGGCAACGGCGACATCGCGGGCAGCGCTGCCGGCAGCGGCAACCGGCCCTGGCGCGGGGACCTCCCTGTCCCCACCCTTGTCCCCATCCGCTGTCCCCTGTAGCCTGTCCCCTGTCCCCAACCCCTGTCTCCAATCCCCCATCCCCTGTCCCCATCCTCTGTCCCCTGTACCCTGCTTCGTGTCCCCATCCCCTGTCCCTTGTCCCCAGTCCTGTGTTGCCCAAATCTCCTATCCCCATCCCCTGTCCCCATCCCCTGTGCCCATTCCCTGTCCCCTGTCCCAAATCCCCCGTCCCCTATCCCCAAACCCCTGTCCCCCTGTCCCTATCCCATGTCCCTTGTTCCCAATCCTCTGTCCCCAAAATCCCGTCCCCATTCCCTGTCCCTTGTCCCCATCCCCTGTCCCAAATCCCGTGTCCCCCCAATCCTCTGTCCTCATCCCCTGTCCCCAAATCCCCTGTCCCCAATCCTCTGTCCCCCTGTCCCTTGTCCCCATCCCCCGGCCCCGCCCGCAGTGACACCGATGACGTCACCCCGCGGTGTCATTGCCCCCAAAGGCCACGAGGTGGCGCCATTGACCCAAAGATGCTCGGGGGGGGTGGGGAGGGGGTTGGGGCGCTCGGGGACCCCCCAAGCCCAACCCCCGCGGCTGTGACAGGGCCGGGGGGACACGCGGGGACTCCCGGGGACCCTGCCGGGCTCCGGGACCCCCCCGGCCTTTTTGGGGGACATGCGGAGGAAACCCTTCAGCCTTGGGGGGTCACGGGGGGGTTGTAGGGGTGTTGGGGGGTACCCCCAGCCCTGTGGGGGACCCTCGTGGGGGACTGGCCGGACCCTGTGCTCAGCCCTGTCCGTGGGACCCCCCAAAGACCTTCGGGTGCCCCAGAACAGCGATTTCAGCCCCCCCAAACTGCCCCCCCAGCCCCTCCCCAGCCCTGAGCTCCCGCATTTGGGGTTCCACAGGCTCGGCAGCCCCAGAGCTCCCAGCCCCAGACTGGTCGGGGACTGGCCGGACCCGCTCCCCCTCCAGCCCCGCTCCGCGCTGCCCTCCCCGGCCTCCAGCCCCACAACCGGCTTTTCCTGCCGCAGCGCCGCTCCCGGCGGGGCCCGGCCCTGGCGACAGCGCGGCGGGAGGGCGACAGCCAGGCTGGGGGCCTGCGGATGTCCCAGCGGCTCCGGGGACCCTGGGAACCTCCCCGGGAACCCCGGCGCAGCTCCCAGGGCTGGGCTGGGCTGCTCCCAGACACTTCTGTCCCCTCGGAATGAATTCCTGGAATCCCCAGCGTGCTGTTCTCCCGGCTCCGGGGTCACGCTCGGCCTCCTGCAGAGTCCCCTGCTTCCCTTGGGCATTCATCCCTGCTCTCTTTATTTCTGCTTCTATTATTTCCATTTATGTCTGTTTCTATTTCTATTACTTCTATTTCTGTTTGTCCTTTTCCTGTTCTCGCTCTTATTCCTATTCTTATTTATTTCTATTCCTACTTCTAATCCTATTCCTACTAATTTTCCTGTTCTTATTCCTATGCATTCTTATTCCTCTTCCTATGCATTCCTATTCCTATTTATCCGTGTTCCTATTCTTATTCCTGTTCCTATTTATTCCTATTTATTCCTATTCCTGTTCCCATTCCTGCTCCCGTTCTCATTCCCATTCTCATTCCCGCTCCTTTCCCATTCCACTCTTTGCATTCCCACTCTTTTTCCATTCCTGCGCCTTTTCCATTCCCCATTTTTCTCCCTCTTTCCCCGCAGTCCAGCGGTTCCGGCGGTGCCGGGACTCGAACCCGCGGCATTCGGGGCGCGGCGCAGTTCCCGCCGTGGCCGCCAGGTGGAGCCGTTGCCCCGCGCCGCGGGCCGGGCCGGGGGGGACCCGGGGGGCACCGCGGGGACAATGCGGGGAGGGGGGACACCACACACAGGGGACAGGAGGGGACACACAGGGGACAGGAGGGGACAGCCCCGCCCGGGCCACGGACCCAGACCCCTCCCAGCCCCCGGTTCTTGTCAGGGGAAGTTCCTGCCCGCAGAAGCAGAGACCCCTCCCCAAAAATAAACCCACCCTTTTCAAAGCCCCCTCCCCGGTTCTGGGGCGGTGGGGACAGCCCGGCGGGTGGCCTGGGGGGGGACCAGGGCTGGCCCGCGACCCCCGGCTGGGTCATGCTGCTGGGGGTCCTTGGGGCAGCACAGGGGTCACAGCTCTGAGTGGGGGTGAGAGAAGGGCACAGACCCCCGGGGGGTGTCCCCCAAAATCGGGGCTTGTCGCTGCCCCGAGGTGCCGCCAGTTGGGGGTACGGGAGGATCCTCTGGGGGGGCTCTGCCTGGGGGTGGTGTTGGACTGGAGGACGCTGCTGGGAGAAGGGGGGAGCAGGGGAGAAGTCGGGGGGCCGTAAACAAACCCCTAAAACCCCCAGCCCCAAGCACGGATCCATCCCCATCCTAAATCCCAACACTCTTTCCCTGCCTCACAACAAACAAACTCAAACACTCCTCAAAAAAATCCCCCCACAACCCCAAAATCCCCTTGTAAACAGCCCTGTCCTGTCCCCCACAGTGTCCCCTGTGTCCCCGGGACACCCCTCCTGCAGGCAGGACCCTGCACACTTTATTTACTCCCTCACCCTCCTTCACCCACTCTTTGTTGTTTCTTGAGAGAGAGAAAAAAAAAAAAAAAAAAAAAAAAGAAGGGAGAGAGAAAAAAAAAAAAAACCCACACAGGAGGAGGCAGGAGCCTATTTTGCCTCCCAGGCAATATTTCTGGAGCCAATCGGAATGCGCACCCACCCTGCCCTGCTCCCTAATTAAAGGCTTTAAGCAGGCGGCCGGGGCCGGAGGTTTGGGCACAGTCTCTCGGTGGCTCCTCGCGAAGCAGCCGCAGCGCCGGATCCCGCTCGGGGCACGCCAGGCCGCGGCCGCCGCCAGGTTGGGGGGTCCCCGGCGCGGGCAGGCAGCCGCCCCCTCCCCGCTGCCAGCCATGAGCGGCTCTTTCGATAAGAAGCTCTCCAGCATCCTGACGGACCTCTCGGGCTCGCTGAGCTGCCACGCAGCCTCCAAGGACTCTCCCACCCTGCCGGAGTCCTCGGTCACCGACCTGGGCTACTACACGGGCCAGCACGACTACTACCCGGGCCAGTCGTACGGGCAGCCCGTGGGCCACTACCCCTACCCCCAGTTCAACCTGAACGGCATCGGCGCCGCCGGCACCTACTCGCCCAAATCCGAGTATTCCTACAGCCCTTCGTACCGCCAGTACGGGCACTTCAGGGAGCAGCAGCTCCCGCCGCAGGAGGCAGGTACGGATGGAGCGGGGCACCGGGAGCGTGCCCGCCCCGCCGCTCCCGCGGGGTGCCGGGGGGGCTTGGTGCGGCTTTAACCCCCGGGCTTTGTGGGGGTAAACCCCCCGGGCTTTGTGGGGGTAAACCCCCCGGGCTTTGTGGGGGTAAACCCCCCGGGCTTTGTGGGGGTAAACCCCCCGGGCTTTGTGGGATTTTACCCCCCGGGCTTTGTGGGGTTGTGTCCCTCGGGGTGTCCCCGGTCTTTGTGGGGTTTTAACCCCCCGATCTTTGTGGGGTTGTGCCGCTCGGGGTGTCCCCGATCTTTGTGGGACTTTAACCCACCCCTCCGCCCCCGATTTTTGTGAGGTTTTAGCTCCTCGGAGTGTCCCCGATCTTTGTGGGGTTTTAACCCCCCTGTTTTTATGGGGTTTTACCCCTGGGAATGTCCCCGATCTTTGTAGGATTGTGCCCCTCCGGGCTGGGGGCAGGGGGCTGCTGGCGGCTGTGGGGGCTCAGCCGTTCCCGTGGGGACGGCTCCGTGCTGGATGCAGAGTCCGGGACGTGTCCCGGGGGGGTCCCAGAGGTTGTCGCAGGGGACGGGGCGCTGCCAGCACCCCGAGCGGGGTGACACCGGGCTGGGGACGGGTGACACCGAGCTAGAGACGGGTGACACCGAGCTGGGGAAGGGGTGACACCGAGCTGGGGATGGGTGACACCGAGCTGGGGATGGGTGACACCGAGCTAGGGATGGGTGACACCGAGCTGGGGAAGGGGTGACACCGAGCTGGGGAAGGGGTGACACCGAGCTGGGGACGGGGTGACACCGAGCTGGGGATGGGTGACACCGAGCTGGGGAAGGGGTAGCTGCCCTTGGAGCCCTTCACGCTCACCCCGCGCCCTCTCGCAGTGTCCGTGAAGGAGGAGCCGGAGCCGGAGGTGCGGATGGTCAACGGGAAGCCCAAGAAGATCCGCAAGCCCCGCACCATCTACTCCAGCTACCAGCTGGCCGCCCTGCAGCGCCGCTTCCAGAAGGCGCAGTACCTGGCGCTGCCCGAGCGCGCCGAGCTGGCCGCGCAGCTGGGGCTCACCCAGACCCAGGTGAGGGCTGAGCCCCCGACACCCCAAATCCCCCCGCGGGAAGCAGAGGGGGAGCCGGAGCTGCCACCCCCCCGGAAATCCTGGATTTGGGAAGGGCTCGGCTCCCGCGGAGCCAAAAGGGGTCTGGGGGTCACAGGGACGGAGTTCCCCACTCGCTGTGGGTTGTGGGGTTCCCGGTGAGATTTCCCCGGTGGAGCAGATTCGAGGGAAAGGTGGAGAGGACGGATGCAGCAGGGAGAGGGGAGCCCAGCCATGCCCCACGCGGCAGTTTCGGGGTTCATCCCACTCCCTCTGGAGCCCCATCCCAAACCACCCAGAGCCGCGGGGTTTGGGGTTGTCCCGGGTCACGGCACACCCGGGACCAGGAATGTGGGGCACCGAGTCCCGGGCGAGCCGGGCTGCTCGGGACGGGGCTCTCGGGACACCCCATCCCCACAGAGCTCCTGACCCCAGATCCTGCCGGAGCAGGGACCTGTTCCCCTGGGTTCTCCTGAGCTCGTACTGCCCAGACTTCCCAAGGCTTCCCCTGGCTCTGGCTGCCCCATCCCGCTGGGTTCGTGCAGGGAGAAGGGATTTGGGGACCGGTTCCACGCCCGCTGTCCCCAGCGCTGGGGTGGCCCTGCAGGCTGGACTGGAAGAGCCGGGATGTGCGGGATGGGCTTCTCCTCCTCCCCTCGAGCCGCCCAGATTCGGGGCGAAACCCTCGCTCCTGGGGTCCTGCCTGGCGCGGGGACAACCGTCCCCTTGGCTCTGCGGCTGGGAGGGGCTCGGCTGTCCCCACTGTCCCCGCTGTCCCCGCTGTCCCCGCTGTCCCCGCTGTCCCCGCAGCCCGTGACTCCCCCGCGCCCCATCGCGGTGCCCTCCCTGCCTCGGGGCCGGCGCCGGCGCCCTTGTGCCGCCCTTGGCCTTCCTCCTCCTCCCTTGGGCGATGAAGCAATCGGGGACACTCGCAAAGGGCTGACGGAGCGCGTCACCCGCTCCCAGAGGGACATCCTGTTTGGGTGACAACCGCCGCCACCCCCGCCCCTCGCCCAGGGCGTCCAGCGCCGCCTCGCCCAGCGCGGGGACGCTCCCGACGCCCGTGTGGCGTGTGGCGTGACGGGCTCCTCGTGACGCCCGTGTCCCCAGAGGGGTCTGTGTGACAGCCGCTGGCACGTGGGTGCTGGCCCCAGAGCACGGGGTGTCCCTGTCCGTGCTGTGTCCGTGTCCCTGGGGTGTCCCTGGAGTGCCCATGGAGTGCCCATGGAGTGTCCGTGGTGTGTTCATGGAATGCCCATGGAATGTCCATGTCCCTGGGGTGTCCCTGGAGAGTCTGTGGTGTGTCCATGGTGTGTCCGTGGTGTGTCCGTGGCGTGTCCGTGGAGTGCCCATGGAGAACCCATGGAGTACCCATAGAGTGTCCGTGGTGTGTCCGTGTTCTCCATGACACTCACACCAAGGGTCACTGCCCATGTGTCCCACGACACCCCTGTCCCGAGGAGTTTGCTGCCATGCACCGTGCGGGGTCCCCATGATGTCCCTTCCCGTGGTGCCTCATGTGTCACCTGTGTCCCTTGTCCCTTCCTACGTGCCAGTCTCTGGGGTCCCTGTGACCCCCCTGTCCCTTCCTGTGTCTCTGGGGTCCCTGTGACCCCCCTGTCCCAGTTTGGTTCCAGTGCTCAGGGGAGTTCCCTGTGACCCCAATATCCCTTCCCGTGTTTCAGGGCTGCCCGTGACCCCTGTTTTAGGTGTCCCTACGATCCAAACCACCCCATCCCTTGTCCCCTTCCCTCTCCCCCATCCCTCCTGTTCCCATGCCAAGGAGGGAGGGACACTCCATGTCCCCTGCCCCTTTTCCTTGTACCCATCCCATCCTCCCGAATCTCTGCCCCTTTTCCCTGCACCCACCCCACCCTCCCGGCTCCCTGCCCCTTTTCCTTGTACCCATCCCATCCTCCCTGTCCCTTCCCGGCTCTCTGACCCTCTCCCCTGCACCCCGCAGGTGAAGATCTGGTTCCAGAACCGGCGCTCCAAGTTCAAGAAGCTCTACAAGAACGGCGAGGTGCCTCTGGAGCACAGCCCCAACAACAGCGACTCCATGGCCTGCAACTCGCCGCCGTCGCCGGTGTGGGACAGTCCCGGCGGCAGCGCCCGCACCCCGCTGCCGCAGCCGCTGCCCTACAGCTCCTCGCCGGGTTTCCTGGAGGAGCACAACCCCTGGTACCACCCCCAGAGCCTCAGCGGCCCCCACGGACCCCCGCAGGCGCAGGCGGCGCCCCCGATGCACCACCCGTCCCCCGGGCCGCCCAGCACGGGCGCCGTGTACTGACGGGCGCGGAGGGCTCAGAGACGCTGCACAACTCCTCGGCCTCCTTTTTTCCACACCCCACACCCCCCCATCCCCGGTTTGGCTTTGTCTCCTGATTTTTCCTAAAAAAAAAACCCCAAAAAACCCAACAAAAACTCAACAACAACATCAACAAACCAAAGGAAAGGACCCCCACCCCGCGCACCCCCAGAAACCCTCGCTCCTCGCCCCGCTCATCTCAGGAACCAGAGGACTGCAAAGGCTCCAAACCCTCCGCTCCCAGCGCTGGAAAAGCTGGAAAATCCTTCAGAACTTTTTCATTTCTGACGTTTTTCCATCGCACCCCCCCCCCCCCGGGGGCCCGGGGCAATTTTGGCCCCGGAGGTTTTTCTTCCCAGGCCTTGGCGGGGGTTTTGCTTTTTGGGGGACCGCGCTGAGCGGCCCCGGACCCCGCCGGGCTGGAGGAGCCGTGTCGCCGCTGTCGCGACAGGGACGTGCCCGTCCCCGGCCGAGGGGGAGGTGCTTGGCCCCGGCTCCGACACCGGGAGCGGTTTTGGGGCTCACGGACCCCCCACGGGAGCACAGCGGGACCCTCACCCCAGCCGGAATCACCCGGGACGATGCTCAGACCAGAAGGCGGCGATTTAAAAGTAAATTTAAAAAACCGTGTGTGTGTGGGGGGAGGTGTGGGGAGGGAAATATTTTAATATTTAAGCAGTTCAGGAATGGTTTTAAGTTATTGTTTGAAGAGAAAAACTCGTGTTCATCTCCGTTTTCTGGCTGTGCCTCCAGCTGTGGGTAAAGGAACGGCGAAAATGCCTCTTTTTTAAGGAAATCGACGACTTATTTTAAAGGAAAAAAAATAACCGAGCTCTTTCCTATTTTTTAAGAGAATAATGCTATTTTTTTAAGCAGAAAGTGCCGTTTTAAGGAGTGTTCATAGTGTTGTACAGTCCCGGGGATTTATTTATGTTGCCTTCTATAAATAGGGGTGTTTTGGGGGGAAAAAAGGGAGTGTACATAAGGTTCGTTTGTATAAAGTTGTTCCAAACCAAACTGGTTTCGTTTTTTGATTTTTTTTTTCTTTTTTGTCTATAATTTTTCTTTTTTCCTAAGGAAAATCCCCCCCGGCTGATGGGAGCCCCCCTCGGGTGTCCCTGAGTGTCCTTTGCTCCTTCCCAAGGGATCCAAAGCCGGGCTGGAAATGTTCATTAATAAAAGTTCTGAATTTAAAGCTCCAAACACCGTTTTCCCCCGATTTCTGGAGGGTTTTAGGGAGCAAGGTTTGGGGTTTTTCCACCTTGGGAAATGTGGATTTAAACCCCATTTTGGAGGGACAGCTGGGCATGGGGTGGCACCGGACAATGTCGCTTGATCCCAAACCCCACTTTGTCCTGCTGAGAGGGAATTTGGGGCAGGAAAAGGAATTTTTTTAGGATTTTCAGAGCATTCCCCAAACAGCTGCGGGATCCTGGTGCTTCCATCCCGCTGCTCCTACTGGGACCAGTGAGCTGCCAGCCCTGCAGACTGGCAGGGCGGCTGCGCTGCCCCGAGGTCCCTTTTGGGGACAACGAGGTGGGGACAGGACAAGCCCACCCAAAATCCCAAAACCCCACGGCCCCTGGCCGTGTCACGGGTGGGACGCGCTGTCCCCACGCTGTCCCCACGCTGTCCCCACGCTGTCCCCACGCTGTCCCCATCACCCCCGATGGCCGCGGGGACCCCAAATCCCGCTCGGCCCCGTTTCCCTGGGGGGCTCCAGTGCCAAATCTCGGGACGCTCCCGGCTCTCAGTGTCCCCAGACGTGTCCCCACGGCCCCCGTCCCCAAATCCACGCAGGGTTTCCCTCCCACCTCGCCCCAAATCTCCCCACAAGCTGCAGCCCCAAATCCCCGTTCCCAACCCCG